TTTGATATATGATGATAGTACCTAAAAAAGTCACTTTTGGGTGGATTAAATTCTTGAATTTGAAAAAAACAGTAAAATATTTAGGAACAAATATGTTATCTATGATCTGACTCAAGAGCAATATACATACCATAAAGGAAAGACTGATGAATTCTACCTATTAAATTGAGACTTCTGTTGTATAAAAAGTCCATAAAGAAGAAGCATGATAAATTTCAAACAGGCAAAATATTTGTATATGTAACTGACAAGACATTATCCAGATCATATGTCTATCAGTAATTACAAGATAAATCACTACAAAATAAAAAAGCATTTCAGTTTCACAAAGTGACACAAGTAGTCAGAAATATATCAAAATATATTCTGTCCTTTTAGTCTTATTTTGGCAACCAGGAAACATGAGTATGACATGTCAAATTAATAAACAAAAATGGTTTTTTGCTTTTAAAATTAGTATTTATTTGCCCTACATAATGATCACATTCATCATAGGGAATTTATACCTGTATGTGATATATCTTCCCCATTTCCCTCCCTTCCCTTCAACCCTTCTCCCTTTACCCATTTACAAAAGCTTTGTTTCCAATTTCTCCTTTCATTCTCTTTTTCAAAATCCCTTTGCCTTTCTCCCCTTTCTTGTTCCTCTTCCCAAGTGAACATGTTTTTCCTACTTTCCGATATCCATTTTGCTCCTTATTTACCCTTTAGATTTCTCACACAAGATAAATAATGTTATATTTTAACTTGTGTGTCTAATTTATTTGTTAATATTGTCTTGAGGTGCATCCACTGACCTAAAAAAATCTCAAGTTTATCTTCATGGCAGAGTAGTACTCCATTGTGTATATGTACTACATTTTCTTTATCCATTCATTGTTGATGGGCATATGGACTGTTTCCAAAGTTTAACTATTATACACTGTGCTGCTATAAATATAGATATGCATATATCACTATGGTATGATGCTTTTAACTTTCAGGAAGATACATAGGTGAAGAATAAATGGGTCAACTGGAATCTTATTTTAGTGTTTTTAGGATTCTCCTTACTGATTTCCATACTGATTGTACCAATTTACAGTCCCACCAGCAACAGAGAAGAGTTCTTTTCCCCCACAGCTTCATCAGTATTTGTTACTGGTTGATTTCTTGGTGATAGTTATTCTTTCTAGAGTGAGCAGGAATCTCACTCTTGTTTTAATTTGCATTGCTCAGATAACCAGTGACACTGAACATTTTTTCATATATTTACTTGCTGTTTGTACTTCTTCATCTGAGAAGAGGCTATTCATTTCAGGTGCCCATTTTTGGGTTGTGTCTTTAAATTTAGAAGGGATCTGATTTTTTTTATGTTCTTTATATAGTCTAGCTATTAGTCCTTTGAGGGGTAGCTGATTAAATTTTTTTTTCCAATTTTGTGAGCTGTTCCTTTATCCTGCTGGTGGTTTCTTTTGCTATGCAAGAGATTTTTAATTTAATGGCATCCCTCTCGTTGATTCTCTGTAATATATCTTGTGCAATCGAGGTTTTGTTCACAAAGTCTTTGCCTGTGCCTATAACTCTGTTTTACCTATTTAATCTTCCAGCAGACTTTCTGTTTTATTATTTATGTCTTTGACCCATTTCTATTTTAGTTTCGTGCATTGTAAGAGGTATGGATCTAAGTTTAATCTTCAGTATGTGGAAAGCCAGTTTTCGCACCACCATTTATTACAGAGGTTATCACAGGTTTCCCAGAACCGTTTATTAAAGAGGCTATCTTTCTTCCAGTGGCAGTGTTTGGCCCCTGTGGCAAAGGTAAGATAGCTGAGTGTGCTTGGAATTGTTTCTGCATTTTCTATTCTGTTCCATTGATTTTCGAGTCTGTTTTGTTTTGTTTTTGCCAGTTTTATGCTTATTTTTTTAAATCAGGGTAGCTTTGTACTATGACTTCAAGTCAGGGATTGTGATGCCTCCTGGCTTGCCCTTGTTACCCAGAATTGTTTTTGCTATTCTGGGTCTCTTCTGGTTCTGAATGAATTTTAGGATTATTTTCTCTAGTTCTGTGAGGTATGCTATTGCTGTTTTGATTGGAGTTGAATTAAATCTGTGTAACAGTTTTAGACCTATGGCCATTTTTACTAAGTTGGTTCTGCCAATTGAAGAACAAGGGATATATTTTTATTTTCTGTTATCCTAGTTGATCTACTGTAGTTTCCGATGTAAAGGTCTTTTACTTCTTTATTAGGTTGATTCCTAAGTATTTCATTTTAATTGATGCTATTGTGAAAGGTATTATTTCCCTAATTTCCCTCTCAGTGAGTTTATTATTCATATATAGAAATGCTATTGATTTTTTTTTTTTTTTTTTGTACCAGGGATCAAACTCAGGCCCTTGCACTTACAAGGCAGGCGGTGGAACCACTGAGCCAAATCCTGGGCCTGCAAAATGCTATTGATTTTTGAGTGTTGACTTTGTATTCTGATATACTACTGAATTTGGTTATTAATTCTAGGAGTCTTTGGTGGAGTATTTGTGGTTTTTCATGTAGTTTCACATCATCAACAAATAATAATTTAACTTCTTCCTTTCCTATCCATATTCCTTTTATTTTTTTCTCTTACCTAATTGCTCTGACTAATGTTTCCCAAACTATATTAAACAGGAGTGGTGATGGTATGGTGAGCATCCTTGTCTTAGTTCTGATTTTAGAGTGAATGCTTTCCCGGTTTTGATCATTTAGTATGATGTTGGCTGTTGGTCTCTAATAGATGGCTTTTATCAGGTTACGATAAAGACTTTGTATTTTAATTTTCTTTAAGGTTTTTATCATGAATGGGTGTCAGACTTTGTTAAATGCTTTTTCTGCAAATGTTGAATTATTCATGTAGTTTTTGTCCAGTTAATGTGGTGATTCATTGTTGCTTACTACTCCACCATCTTCCCAGAAGTCTGTTTGTTGGCTTTTAAACAGTATTTAGGTCAGTGGTGTCACTGCCTGCCTAGCAAGTCAAGGTCCTGAGTTTGATCCCTAGTACCGAGTTCAATCCCTAATACCAAAAAAAAAAAAAAAAGCCACAAAAAACTTTTATACAACCCTTTTACTGACGGTATATTTACTTCTAATCTCTCTACCTGTTCCCAAACAGTCCTATGTTAAATTATTCCTATACTTTTACAAGATTTTTCTCACCTCCTACCCATCACTTCATTCTTCAGTCTGGCTTCTACTTCTAGATTTCATTGAACGGGGCCTGTGGGGAATCCTCATGCCCTCCTGTGCTGTTACATTCCTTGTACACCTTTCTTCACACCTTGGAAAATTTGACTTTGTTGACCATTTTGTTCTTGAAATTATCTTCTCTTGGCTTCTGTGATATACCTGCCTATGTGGTATAGTGGCTCAGATTTTCATTTTAAATTTATCTTTAAACATTATGCCATATTTGCTTCAGGAAGCTTTTGTGTAACAGTAGCATTAAATTCCAGTCCTCTAAGTAACTGTTTTTTTCCTGGTCACTTTGTTTATTCTCCCTTGTATTCATTTTTCTAGGATTATTTTTTGTTTTGCTAGGTTAGAATGTGTGATTTAAAATCTTTGAATTTCTGAAAATAATTTCATTCTGTCCTTATATTTTTTTGATAATTTCATTAAATTTATAGTGAAGGTCTAATATTTCCCTCACAAATTTTATAGACATTTCTTTGTATTTTCATAATATTTTCTCATTTTAGTGTTAAGCCTATAATGGTGGTTTTTCTTACTTCTGCTCAATTTTCATCTTCCATTTGTTTTGATGTTCTGGATTCCATGATGTCATTTAACTAAAGATATAAGTAAATAATATTTAGAAAGCCACTGTTCTCCTAGCTCTTAATGTTTTAAAATAATCATAGAATTGTAACTGTAATAAATAGTGGAGTTTATTAGTGTTTTCCCCTCAGGTTCCAAGGCAGGAAGAGAGGTTTTCACCTTGCAATGAATCATGGTATTCTAAGAAAATATGTCTCAGTGGACATTATTTTCTACATGCTTATATAACTAAAAAATACCTTTTATCAGACATGGATACTAATTTACTTTAATATACTTTGTGGAAGACCTAGCCTTTTTACTTAGACACATTCCTATTATTTAGTTTGGTGATTCTCAACCTAGCATGCAAACTAATGACTTGAAGGACTAAGTGCCCATTGGCCTCTCTCCCAGAGGTGTAAATTAGGGAGCTGAGGTGGGGCCAGAGAATGTACATTGCCATCCTGTATGCTTGTGTGGTGCTGATGCTGTGGATTGTGGGACCACATGCTTTGAACCACTGATCTGGAGTCAGTGTTGCACAAGAGAAATTTTAAACTAGCCTAATTTTTCATCATTTTTAGATAACATTTTTCCTCTGCTCAAATAGAGGTAGTAATATTTTTCTTTAATAATGTAATTCAGAACTTTTATCCAGATGTGAGATACTGTCTCTTTGTTGGCATAGGTAATACTTTTACACATACTTTTAGTGGTAAACATTAATATACTACATGATATACTTCAGTGTGTGGATTTATTTAGTTACTTTCACAATCACCCAAACCAGTTCATGGCATACAAAAATATATCAAGTAGAAGTATAATATTTTATGTCTTGTTATTTTAGTCCTTTTATAATGAATAAAATTATGTTGAAGAAGCAGTGTTGGGAAAGTAATGATTTTTGTTCTTGTATTTGACACTATATGAAAATAATTGTAATGCTTTTTATAGTAATTTAAATTTTAGCTATTTTGAGAAAAATATGTGAATTATTTTGGAGCCTCATTAATGTATAAGGGTGGAAAATCATTTTTTCTAGAAATGAGTTATGTGTACCTATGAACTAAAATGCTGTTTATAAATATGAAAATAATGATTTTGAACTATAGATTTAGACACTAGTGTACTTTTGTGATTCAAAATAAGGCTTGAATTAAATATAATACACATTGTAAATAATTTTACATTTAAAGATATTAAAACTTTATTTTCCAGATTTTGGAATCTCTGTTTAAGGTATGTTTACTCTGTTGTAGCTTAAACTTGGTAGAACTTAATTGGGGAATACATGTAAATGAGGATGTTTGTAAGTTCTGAATTTAAAACAAAACTCCCATGTGCTGCCATAAATACTTAAACACTTCATACTCAGTCTACTGTCGCATCCTCCCCATTCTTACCCATGCTCGACAGATGAAGGTCCACAGACACACATGCACATGAAAAGTATTTTGCTGCAGAAATTCAACTTGTCATTAACTCTTTTTTTGTTTCTTTTTTAAAAAGTGGTTTCAGCGACAGGTCAATCAAATGGAGGAGGTAAGTGTAATACTTCTTAATTGCTAATTAATATATTTGATTATTTTAAAATGAAATTGAAGTATATGTGGTAAAATTTTTAAAATTCGCAATAGCTGTAATTTTTTTAGATGGAGGAGGAATTAGTGGGTAGAAAACAATGTTTTGGGGTTATTTATACACTCTATTCATTTATTCCTATATATTTCCTATATTTATATTTCTATGTATTTCCTAAAATTGAATAATGTAAATTGAACTATTTCTCTTTTCCTAATTCACATAAAAGAGTAATGAGAGATTTGATTTTAAATTCCTCCTATATTAAAAAAAATCATGTATAAAATATGTATACACATAAAATTTATGTATTTATTTTCTCTGAGTTTAATATATTTTAATGATACTCTTTTGTCCTTTGATTTGCAAGTACTTTACTACCAGTTTGAGAACTACTGGTCTCTTGTCCTTAAGGATTTTTAATTCTATTTTGGAAAAGACTTCATATATGCCACTAATATGATGGAATGGTTAACCAGCCATAAAATGTTGGCCTGCTGCAAGATTTCATCCTGTGTCTTTCCTTGTCTCCTGTCTTTCCCCTTAGGTAATATCACTCAGTTATTCCAGTATTACCTTCATACTACCAATTTAAAAACACATCTCTTGCCATTGTTGGCCCAGTAGACTCCAGATTTGTTGTACCTCAAACCCAATGGACCAAAACCAAGAACTTGTACTCTTCTTCTACTCCCATGCTTTGAGAATGTTGGTACCATTTGTCCAGTTAGGTAAACCAGAAATAGGATAATCAACCTTGACAAGTCACTTCCCTCTATCCTTAATGGTCTATCCATGAGTCCTTTAGATTTTACCTCCTAAATTGTCCATTCATCTCTATATGTACTGTTCACACCTTAGTGTCAGTTACCATCCCATCCAGTAAACAGGAAGTCTTAATTTGCACGTGCACCATCTGCAGGAGGAATCCTCACTACATGTTCATACTTTTCATCTGGTGTTCCAGGTTTTTTAAATGTTTAAATCCATAATTATGTCTCAAAATTTTCTTAACTTGATGGCATCAGTTACATTGCTTATGTGTATTTATTTCTATCTCTCAAGGAGTGTTTCATTTTTTCATTAGTGCATGTTACTAACACAAAACAGTGTGGTTTCTTTTGGGAATTTGGTACCTGCATTAAAGCATATCTTGGTCATTTTCAAGTCCTTTATTGCCCATTATACCCCTCTCACCGTCATCCCTTTCCCCATCTTCGAAGTTCTATCCTTTGGTTTCCTGCTATTACTCACTTGCCCACTTACTCATTTATTTATTTTTAGGTATATAGGAGAAAACGTGATGTTTGACTTTCTGAGTCTGTCTTATTTTTGTACCATGTGTACCAGGGATCGAACTTGCGACCTCAAGGTGGGCAGCGGCACCACTGAGCTAAATCCCCAGCCCCTGGAAGGATATTTCTTAAAGTGTAGTGAATAGATCGTGTTTAACTGTCACACAAAATACTTACTATACATATGTATGACTGGATTCAAATTTTTATGTATGTAAGGGAGCTAGAAATCTGCCTGTTTTATAGACTTTCTTTAGGATTCTTACCCATGCTAACATTTGACAGTCTTGGCAATAATCGTTTTACTGGTAGCACATTCTATTGTCAGTACCTGCTGGTGCCATTAATGCCTCTGGTTGTGATGTATTAATAGAGATACATATTGAATCCATCAAGATATGCGGTGAGCTGCACCATTGAAATGCTGGATGGTCCTGACCTTTTCAGAGTTGTCCTGTTAGAGCTGTGCCACATAGGTCTTTTTGTTGAAGTCCTAGAGGTAAAAAACCTACTATCTATTCCATACTTTTAGTTCTGTATCATCAGCTTTTCTCCTGTAAAGGACTTCTGTTAAAATTCAGTTCCTCTGGGAAATACAATGTATCAGTCATGTTTTAATCCAGAGGCAAAAGCCACACAGTGATTAGATTAGGGAAAGTGTAAGATAAAGACTTACTATCATAAAGTAAGGAATACCAACTAAAGGGTAGGCAATTTTAATTATTACAGGAATAGAGATATAGGGAGCTGTCTTTAGCCTAGGGTGGAAGCAGAACATTTCAGGGAGGAACAAATCTGAACAACCCAATCTTCTTTCCTTCCAACCCAAGGCTGAGGCCTGGAAATTCTGAAGACAGCATAGCTGTCATTACTGGGGGCAGAGAAGTTCATGGGTGCCATCTGGTGAAATTCAAACTCCCTGAGAAGCTTCCTGTGAGTATGGTACACCAGAAACTACCCTCTGTAGACATCTTTAAGGGAAATCCTTATAAATTTTGTTGGAAAGCTGACCACAAAGGCTCTGCAGTGGGGTATTTTGCTGAAAAGTTCTGGGAGAAGCTGCCCATAGTAATTGTCCATGGCATGGACCTGGCCAGGAAACCATCTGTGGGCGTGATACCTTTGATCCTTGCTGGGGGTCTGCTCTACTGGGTATTGTGCACAGTCCAGCAGTGAGCAGAGAGATGACAGCGGTGAGAAGTAACGCTCCTTTCTACTCTAGGATCCTCTGCTGATACAGGGCAGGATCATGCCACCTGTGGAGAAAAAATATTCCACTATCCCAAAACAAGAATAGAATTTTGAGTTGACTGGCAGTAAATTGATAATTGTGTCTAATTGGTACATTACTTTTATATTCAGTTTGTGAGTGGTGGCTCTTCTTTGGGATCTTGCTTCTGCCCATAGTTTGTATAGGACTCTTTACTTCCCTTCTCCAGTTCTGTATCCCTCTCTGTATCTGCCTTACACAAAATCTCAGGCTTGCAGTGCATTGCTCAGCATTTACTAACTGCTATTATATTTTAATCCCATTCCAGAGAATCATAACAAAAATAAAGCTCATATTCTAAATCCCTAGTGCTGGAACGTCTCTTTGCAAGGTCACAGGACTACACTTTGAGTTCCATTTTGCCACCTTTCCTTCCCATCATAAAGATTAGAGGTTTCTACATGAGTGGATCTTTGGGGTTACCCTGTCAAACTTCCTGACTCTACCTAGCCACCCCCAATTACTGTTCTGCTTGTTTATGTCTCTACCTACTGGCTGTTTCCAGGTTTCTTTCATTGTGATTTCTTACTGAATTCCTTTAAATAGATTATCTGGAACACAAATTATGGCATGACATCTTTTTTCTTTACTTATTTTTATTAGTTTTCCACACCGCACATTGGTTTTTTAGCTTAGTCTATTCAAAAGGTCTTAAGACATGCAAGGGGGGCTAAGTTTACCCTATGTAGCCTGAGGAATCCCAGCTCCACAGACATGCATCTTCTGGAATTAAAAAAAAAAAAGTCAGATAGCCTTTGAGAGTAAACTATTATCTTTCTGTAATTTATCACAGTAAAGATACTCTTATAATTTAGTTGAGGTAGTTATTTCAGAATTTGTCTCATAGTGTTCACTTTGGCAACACATAATACTAGAATTTGTTTTATAAATATTTTGGATTGTGTTTATTGTTATTGATCTTGCTTAAAATTTTTGTATGTCAGAGATTGAATGATTTGATACGACTTTTGGTACATAAAAGTCCTCAGTGAGGTACAGTTCTGTTGATAGATAATTTCCATGTAAGTGTATTTATAAAATATTATATTAGCATTCACAACAGCTGTAGAGATGAATAATATAAATATTACTCAGATTTGATGAAGGAAATAATGAAATTGCTTCGAGATATGGGGATAAAATGGGCATGTCCAAAGTAACTGGTTAATTTTATTACTTTAGTTAAGTAAAGATCATAGTCTTTTAGAAGAAGATCTTCCATCACCTAATAAAACTGTCATGGTAAACATTGCACAAATAGTAAACTTGATGCAAAAGCTCCAAAAACTGAGAAATCTCTTCAAAGACGGGTCTAAATACTCCTTCAAATCCATGATGTCTAAATCAATGTAAGTGAAATATAAGAATTAATTGAATTAAAAACGATAAGATGGGGCATAGAAGTAATAATAAATGTAAGAAAATGGGTAACATATTGCTTTATATAGAGCGCCTGAATCAAATCAGAAGGTGTAGTCACCTTGTTTCTGTTTGAAATGTTAAATAGTCTGAGATGGCATTATTCAATAGAACAGTCACTAGACACACATAGTTATTCCCGTTCTAATTCAGTTCAATTAAGAAAGTCAGTTTGTAGGCTGGGGATTTAGCCCAGTGGTTCCACCACCTGCCTCACAAGTTCAAGGTCCCAAGTTTGATCTCCAGTACCAAAAAAAAAGTCAGTTTTTTTGTCACACTAGCCACATTTCAAGTATTTCATAGCCACGTGGGCTTGTTATTTAAAAGTTCTATGGGACATTATTGATTTTCAAATATCTGACTTATAAAAGTCTCTGATTCCATGACTCCCAGTAACAAACCAGAAATTACTTAAGACTTAAGTATTACATTGCTTATGAATGCCTTCATTAAAATTACATGACCAACTTACAGATTTCACTCCAAACACCACTATTTTACATTAAACATACATAAACCCTTTTATGTCATAGAGTTAAAATATGAAGTACCCCTAATTGGAAGGGGCTATTATTTATCATGCAGTTAATTTATTAGTATCTCTAGGTGGAATGAGTAGATTTAAATGAAAACAATATAAACCTGGGTTGGCTGCCACTGGGTTGTATTGTGTTTCAGAGGCTCAGGCCACTTATCAGGCATGAATATAGTTTCAGACCAGATATAATATTTATACTTGTCATCTAAGTGTTTGTTGTGTGCTAAGTGTTTTTCTAGCAACTTTACGTGTGAGCCTCTCAAACACTTTATAAGAAAGATACTATTATACTTAAATTTTAACAGCTAAAGAAACTGAAGGTCTGAGAGGTTAAGTAACTTACCCAGCGTCACAGAGTAAGTAAGTGAATGAGATAGGGTTTTAACAGGTAATCTCCTTCTAGGACTTAGGATCATGACTACTAAAACAAATTGAATAATACATTAGGAAAAGGAAATGTCATATTTCTACCCATTTTATTTTTGTCATTTTTGTTAGTGTTGTTGGTGTTGTTAATTACATTCATAGAAGACAGAATTACATGGTTTGGATTTTATGCTTCTTACTAGTTAATTTCACTTAGTATCCATGAATAAAGGTTAAAGAATATGTTAATTTTGTGACCTTCATAGATCTAGAGACTATCCATTGTAGTTCTTATGATATGTGAACTCATTATTTGAAATATTAAAATTTTCTCTATTAAAAATTCAGGTGGGATGAAGAAAAGCCATCAACAAAAGTGGACAGCTGTGAAACTGTGAAGCAGAAAATTCAAGGTGATAATCTTGTATACACATTAGCCTTTCTACGGCTTCCTAAATATATGAACATTTTGAAATTAAGTTTAAATTTAAATGGCTATAATTATACCATAGTAAATTTTAAGTTATTTAATAGTGAGCTTGTATTTCAATACAAGTATCATGATGTTCCAGATCCTAGGAACATAAAAATGACTGTACAATGTTGTCATTGCCCCCATGAAATTCAAACTTTAGAAGGACATAGACACATTATGAATCATTTTAATATATTGTAAGACATGATGGAAGTATGTGTGTTTTAGGAAATTTTATACAGCCTGAAAGGATAAACAGAATATAGTTAAGTGAAGGAAGATAATATTTGTTATTTTAACAAGATGATAATAGCATGAATAAACAGCAAGAATAGAGAATGACACCTTTTGCTCACTTCAGCAGCAAATATACTAAAAGTGGAATGGCGCAGAGAAAGACCAACCGCATTAGTGTTAGAGTGCGTGCTAACGGACAGGGATGAGTTAGAACGGCCTGGTCACAGAATGCCTGGGTGTTGTGCTAAGTCACTTGTACTTTTATTGGGTGTAATAAGGAGTCACTGAAGACTTTTTGTAAGGAATTTGTATTTAATTTTACAGGTTTAATTTTAGAGAAAATATTGTGGCCACATGGTAGAAATAGATTTGTGTACTGTAAGTAGGAATTATATATATATATATATATATATATATATATATATATATATATATATATATATATATATATATATATATATATATATATATATATATATATATATATATAGAGAGAGAGAGAGAGAGAGAGAGAGAGAGAGAGACAGACAGACAGAGAGAGAGAGACAGACAGAGAAAGAGAGAATATTAGTAAAAGAGAACAAAAGGGACGGGTTTGAGAAATACTTACTTGATATAATTGGCAAAGTTGACCAAATGTGAAAGATTAGATAAAGATGGCACTGTCAATAGAAATGAGTATAACAAGAGAGACATCGTGATGAGGAAGTGATGAGTTCATAATCCCTTGTGTCATGCATTCCTTTTGATATCACCACTTATTGTCTGACTAGAAGGATCCACAGCATTTTTAGCTATTATTTGTCCTTTCTTGTGAATGAATTATTAAAAACTATAGCATCTAAACCCAACTAGTACATGTGATTGCTACCTGCAATTTATAATATCAGATATACCTTTAATTATTTCAGAATTCCTAAAAACCCACTCTACTGAAGAATCTGTGGATGTTTCTGCAACAGAACCCCGTAAGTTTCCTTTCACTTAAGCACCTTTGTGCTAATAATAATCTATGTGAGCACATTAATTTCTATAATTTAAAGTAATAATGAGTAGAGTGACAACATAGATTCCCTGGAGTTAGAAGCCATAGAGCTGAGCTGGTTTTCCGACCACTACTTCAGATGCCTACTTAAGACTGAAGGTTACCAAACCTAGACTCGGTTTTGAAACAGAGGTTTTGCATTGTAATTATAGCATGCTTCTGAAATATTGGCAGGACATTGACGAACACAGTGAGAAATTTAAGAGACAATTTGGAGATTTCTATACTAGGGTTTATATATCATCTCAAATCTACTAATGCTCTTACTGCCCCTGGGTACTTGTCAGTTTATAAATATAAACAGCATCTAGAACTCTTCTGACAAATTTCTGGCTACTTGTTAACAGAAAGGAAAAATTACTTTGTTCATGTCTTAATATTGGAGAGAATCTTGAAATGATGGAATACAGTTTCAAATTTTTAAATAGGATTGGGTTGGATAAAGTTGCCGTTATATCTTCTCTTCTTCAACTTTAGCTTTAACCTCCCAAGTTCTGTGGAGACTTCTGATTCAGGGGAGCTCTGACCAACTAGGTGGAGTCAAAGGGAATGGATACTGAAAGCCACTCTGCATCCAGGGCAACCCTCTGAACATCTAAGTATCTTACTTTCTTTTCTTGATGCTGGGGCAAAATACCCAATACCCAGAGTTAACAAGGAAAGATTTATTTCCACTCACAGTTTGTAGAGGATTCATTCCATACTCAGCTAGCGCCAAGGCAGGTTGACATGGAAGAGGAGTATCACAGAGCAGACACATTCCATTGCAAGGAAGGCAGAAGGCAGCAAAGCAAGTCTGCCTTCCCTCTCTCCCTTTATATTTCGCCCAGGCTATAAGCCTATTGTGCCACTCACACTCAGGGTAGGGCTCCCATTATCCACACTCAAAACCATGCTAAACCCATTTAGTTATCACAAACCCTTAATCTCAGTATTACACCCTAGATCCAGCCAGCTCTGAAAAGACCCACCTATGAGCATATTAGGCTTTGGGGGACATCTAGGTACAAGCCATAACATAAGGAAATTCTCCCCACCTTCCTCTCTCTTCTTTTGCCTCCCTTCATCTCTTGTGTGATTACCTTCTTTCTAATACTACGTCCCATAAATTCTAGCTTCCTTGGCTTCCCAAACACTGACTTTGTCTTTGAACTCAAGACCAGAAGGTTCTCTGTTGAAGTTCCTCTTTGTTACACTCTGGACTGAAAATTCCAGGCAGTAAATTATAGGTCATTAGGGCCGACTTTGCTTTCTTTCTGGATTGCACTTGCTGTTTTCTAGTTTCTGAATACTGCTGTTTCTCATATTTTTGTCCAATATCTAAGGTGTTTTAAGATAGAATGATAGCTTGCATAAAATATTTATTTCCCTTGGCTCATTTTCCATCTGTTTTTAAAAGTTCTGTGAGTCTATTGTAGAAAGTATATTGTATTGTTTTTATGCACTCAATCCTTCTATGTCTTTGAATTAAAACATTTATTCCATTTACATTCAAGTTAATTATTGATGTGAAAAGACTATGTTCGCCCTAGCTATCCTTTTTGTGTGGCTGTTCTCCATACTTTGCTTCAATATCTTGTTATAGGTTGACACTATGCAGCCTATAAGACTATTTTCATAATTGTAGGTAGCTAGACAGCTACCATTAGACAATGGTTTTTTTTAATAGGGAGATGAAGACTGATGATTTCTACTTTTTCATCTTTCTGATTTCAATCTATTTGTCTTTTGTTTCTTTAATGTTTTGAAAATTTCAGCATAATGATTCTTTTAACTTCTTGGTTAAGTTTATTCTGACATTATTTTCTCTTTTTGAGACTGGTTTAAAGAACACTATTTTCTTAATTTCCTTTTCAGATTTTTAGAATATACATTCTCTAATTAAGCTTTAATCGATAACTGTATATGGTTCTGTTATCTGTACTCTTACTATAGCCATTCTATTAATTGGGGGTTTGGCGATCTGTTTTATAGGTGGTTTGAATTCCACATTTGTTTCCTTTGTGATTTATTGGTTTTTCTGAAGTGGTACCCTTGGACTCCATTACCTTTTGTCTCTTTTCTTGGTTTTGGCTTTGTGATTACTATGACTCTTACTTGTAGTACTTATGAAACTCTATCATAAGGTGTTAACAACATTACTTTCACTGATTATAAAAGCTGTTACAATTTTGTTCCCCCCATCCAGCAGTTTGTTTTTTGTGTCACAGTTATCATCTTTTTGTATTATCTTGTAGTAAATTTTTATAGCTATGGTTATTTTCAATAGTTTTATCTTTTAATCATTGTCTTATGAATATAAGTGTTATATTCATGCCACTATGAATATTCTAACTTTGGCTCTATACATTTTTTTACCAGTAAGTTTTGCATTTTCATATGTATTCATATTACTATTTGGTGTTCTTTCATTTCTGATTGAAGAATGGCCTTTAACATTATTTGTAAAGCAGATCTGATTATGGTGAGCTCTCTCAGTTTAGTCTTTTAGAGGAAATGTTTATCTCCATTTCTGCAGGCTAGCTTTGCTGTGTAAACTGTTACTCACTGCCTTTTTTTCTTTAATGACTTTGAAAATATTTTCTTGCTCTTTCCTGTCCTGCTTCTAATTATATAATCATAATTGTCAACTTGATTGAATTAAGAGAAGCCTAGCAGATTAGTAAAGCAAACTTTGGGGTATTTCTGAGTGGGTTATGGGGGTCTGACTTTAGGGACTATATCTGATCGCTTGTTCTTTCCTCACTGGTACTCTTCACTTGTGCTCTGCTTCTCTGCCACCGTGAGGTAAGTAGCTTTGCTCCACCATGGCCTTTTACCGTGACATGCCAGCCTTGCAGCCAGCCAACCATGAACTGAAACCATTAGCCAAATATACCTCTCTGCTTTCAGTTGTGTATGTGGGGCATTTTGGTTATAAAAACGAAAAAAACTGAATAATATGATTATGCATCTATTCTTGCATGCTATCCAATTTTTCTTTAGGTCACTTAGAATGTTAATCATAGGTGTTTTAAATTCCTGTCTGACAATTTAAAAATCTAGGCTATGTCTAAATCTGGTACTCATGCTTGCTTTGTCTCTTCAGACAATGGTTTTGGTGTTATTGTTGAAAGACATATATGATGGGTATGATAAAAAGATTTAAGGGAAATGGACCATTAATGTGACCATTTTGTTTATCTGGCCAGTAGTTAGACTGTTTTTGTTTACTGTAACTGTACATGTCAGAGGTTAAGATTCACCCATAAATCCTCCAGGCTTTCCTCACTGATTTTTTTTTCTTTTTCTTCTTAGACTGTATATATCCTCAAATAACTTCTTTTTGCATTCACAGGTTCTTCTCTTTGATCAAGTCTGCTGTTTATACACTATGCTAGTTTTCATTTTGTTTACAGTATTCTTCACCTCCAGATAGGTTCTTTATGATTTGAGTTACTTTGTTAACTTCTAGGTTTGAGAGAGATTTTGATATCTAGGTCTCTCTCTCTCTCTCTCTCTCTCGTGTATGTGCACAAACACACACACAATACTGTTTTTAATTTCAATTAGAACCACCATATGATCCAGAAAACTCCTACCTAGGTATAAATCCAAAAGAAAGGAAATCACAATGTTAAGGAAATATCTGCACTCTCATGTTTATTGTGTCACTAAGGACAGTAGCCAGGATATGAAATCAACCTAAATGTCCATCATAAGATGAAAAGATAAAAAATGAGATACACACACACACACACACACACACACACACACAAATAGTATTCGTGAAAACAAGGAAATTTTGTCATTTGTTACAACATGGATGAACCTGTTTTAGTATATGTGCTGCTGAAGTGAGCACAACATTGATGAACCTAGAGGACATTATATTAAATGAAATAACATAGGCACAAACCATAAGATGTTATTTGTGTGGAGTCTAAAAAAGTTGACTTCATAGAAATAGAGGAGAATGGCAATTACCAGGGGTTGAGTGCCTGAGTGGAGAGAGACCACTAGAGAGATACTAATGGTTGTCAAAGTATATAAAATTGAAGATCATAAGAATATGTGTAGGAGACTGTGTTGTCCAGCAGAGCTAATGAAACTATATTATGTTCTTGAGAAATGATAGAGTAGATGTTAATTGTTTTCACCACCAAGATGATAACTATGAGAAGTGATTTTATATTTTATATAATCTAATATATATATATATAAAATAGATATATCTAATATATATAATATATATATATTAGATTTAACCATTCCATAATGTATGTGCTTCAAACTATCATAGTACACATGGTGAATACATTCAGTTTTATTTCCCAATTAGTTTGGAAAATTATAACTTTTTAGTGGATAAGTTAAAAATTACTCTTTCATGTCTATAATAAATCCTGAATTTAATTATTTTGAGGTAGGCTTCTCCCAATATACCATATAAATCCTTCTTGAGTACTCAGTCTCTCAAAGCAAAATCCATGGTTTACTTGGTTTCTTAAAATATCAATGGATTTGATTCCTTTGATATATGTTGCACATTTTTGCTTTTGCCTATGGCATTTGGCTTTCATCTTTCTTTCTAATTAAATTCTATTCATATTTAAGGCTTAGCTTACTTATATGCTCCTTCTTAGCTCCTAAACATTTATTGTATTTTTTATAACTTCATTTTTAGCATGTGGAACAGAAAAAATATAATTATTGTGTAGGAATTTAACATCCATGTTACTTAACATTTTTTGTATGTATCTCATTATTTAATAGAAGACTTGACTGAATGACTTCTGTCAGATACTTATGGTACACAATTCAAAAATTTTGTTATTAACTTGTAAGTTCATTGGTTATTATAGATCCTAATTATGTTGCTTCCTTTTTAAGTATCATGTAAGGTTCCTTAGGTCATTTAATGTGGTTGAAAAATTTAACAGGTTACCTATTTTCCCATAGCCTGTAGCAGCAGCAACCAAAGCAGTTTTTCTCTTAAAATACCAAAGTTCTCTACCACTTTCTATCATAAGTCGCATACCCTGAATCTAAGTCAAAATTTTTCACCTATTTGATGCATAGTTTTGATCAAATTAAATAAACTCTTTGAGCCTGAATTTCTTAATTTGAAAATGGTGATGGTACCTTCTTTTTGAGTTATTTTATGGATTTAGCGAATGCAGAATAACATAGTGACATCCACATATTGGGTGTTTAATCAGATTATAATCATCTCATTTATAAATTTGTTACTGTGTACTACTCCTGTGGCCTTCTTGTCTGTTTTTTTGCTTGTTTAGTTTTCACATTTATAGCAACGAATTACATTAGCATAGAGCTACAGCTTCAGTTATTTTTATTACTTTTAAATTTATTTCTGTATTTTTTATGTTCGAAACTTCTTATTCAGTGACTAATCAGTTGAATGCAATGTTGAAAATATTTGAAAAACAGGCAAATGAATTGGAGAGGTAAGTTTTTAAAATAACTCTTTTGTTCTAATTACAAAATGGAAATATCAAAGCCACAAACAAAATGAAGCCTCTGTCAAAAATTTATAGAGTACAAGCCAGGCGTGATGGTGCACACCTGTAATCCCAGCACTCAGGAGGCTGAGGCAGGAGGATCGCTGTGAGTTTGAGACTAGCCTGGGCTCCAGAGTGAGTTCCAGGTCAGTCACAACTACATAGTGAGACCCTGTCTCAAACAAACAAACAAACAAAAAATTTATAGATTACAGGCCAGGGATTTAGCTCAGTGGTTCCACTGCCTGCTTCACAAGCTCAAGATCCTGAGTTTGATCCCTGGTACCAAAAAAAAAAAAAGTAGAGTTCTTACATCAATTTTTATGATTACATGTAGAATTATGAATATACAAAGTGTAAAACGGAATATGAACTATTTGCTGTAGAATAACAGTATGTTTGTTTCTCAAAAATTAAAAATAGAAATATTGTATAATCTAAAATTTTTATTTCTGGGTATATACCCAAAAAAGTTGAAAGCAGGGCCTCAAAGAGATATCTGCACACAAGTTTATTCAGCATTATTCACAACAGCTAAAAGACGGAAACAACCAAAATGTCCAAGAAGAGTTGAATGGATGAATAAAACGTACATAGTATGTACCACATCCACAGCAGGATATTATTTAGTCTTAGAGGAAATATTGATACATGCTACAATGTGGTAAAACTTGGAGACATCACAAGTCAAATAAAACAGCCCCCAAAAGACAAACCACTGTATGATTTCCCTTATATTAAGTACCTACACTAATCAAATTCATAGAGACATAAAGTGATTGCCAGGAGGTAGAGGGAGGGGTAAATTGGAAATTATTGTTTCATGCATACAGAGCTTCAGGTTTACATGATGAAGAGAGCTGGATATTAGTTGTAAAATAATGTGAATGTACTGAGTACTACTTAATGTACTGAGTACACTTAAAATGGTTAAGATGGTAAATTATGTTATGTGCATTTTATAGTTAAAAATCTAAACATTGTAATGATGCAAAATGTAGTTCATACATATTCTTTTCACTTGTAAATTTATGTTTCCTTTGAAAGTAAATGTTGATTATTTTTCTTTTATTTTGTAATTGCCAAAATTATGTATATTTATGGTATATAATGGGACATTTTCATATATGAATACATTGTAGAATGGCCAAAGCAAGTTATATACCATATTCAGCAGCTTCACATTCTAATAGTTTTTGATGGTGAGAACTTTAAAAATCTGTTCACTGAGCAATTTTAAGATTTACACTACATCATTGACTGTAGTTAGCATATTGTACAGTAGATCTCTATAAATTATTCTTGCATCTAAATGAAACTTTGTACTTTTAACCAAAACTTCCTCTTCTTCCTGTCTTCCCATATTAACTACCTTTCTTCTCTCTGTTTCTGTTTGTCCTTTTTAGATTCCATAAGCAAGATCATGAAGTAAATAACTTTTAATTGACTTTGTGGACTTAGCATGTTTCATTTACAATAATGTTCTCCAAGTTCATCCATGTTGTCATAAATGACAGGATTTCCTTCTTCAGGCTGAATAATAGTTAATTGTATACATTACATTTTCTTTGTCCATTCATCAATGGACACTTAAAAGTTCTTTTTCTGGGGCTGGGGATTTAGCTCAGTGGCAGTGTACCTGCCTGGCAAGCTCAAGGTCCTGAGTTCAATCCCCAGTACTGGAAAAAAGAGTTCTGTTCCTTGGCTTATATCTGACAGAAATGAAAAACTGTATCCACACAAAAAAATTGTATGTGAATATTCACATTAGTATTATTCATAGTAGCCAAAAAAATTCCAAATGTCTACAAGCTGCTAAATCAGTAAAAAGTGTGTTATATCTATATAATGTTATCATAAGTAAAAGGAACATAGTACTAACATGAAGTGTGCTCAAAATATACAGTGAACATTTCAACCTTAAAAAATTCTTACATTAAAAGATACATCACTATTACCCCTCAAAATACTCTCCTCACTTCACACACACATATCTCATCGTTCTTGCCACTTTCTGAAGCAGTTCTTCCTGAAGTCTGCTTTCATGGGACCCGTTAGTTGCTTTGATGTCCTGAATCAGTTTAAAACTTTTACCTTCTGTTTCAGTGAACTATCCAAAATAGTTAAATTTGTTGAGACAAAGTAGATCATTGACTTACTGAGCTGGTCCAGTGCAAGGAAGAATGGGGAATGTCTACTAATGGGTATTGGGTTATTTTTTTGTTAACTAAAATGTTCTGGGTTAGGTGGTGGTAATGGTTTCTCAAGTTGGTGAATATATTAAAATCCACTTAATTGTGTCCTTTAAAAATGAATTGAATGGTATATTGATTATATCTTAATAAAGCTATTATTTGAGGAAGAAATATACTTTATCCCTATTATGGAACAGTTAGCAAACTGGCCCTTGAGTCAAATCTGGTCTGAGGCTTTTTTCATAAAGGAAGTTTTATGGGAACACAGCCTCAGTCATCATTTAACTGTCATCTGCATCTACTTTTGCAGAGTTGCTTAGTGCCTGGCAATGACCGTCAGGCCTATAGAATCTAAAATGTTTACTGTTTGACTTTTGCCAGCATGTGCTATGAAATAATAAAAAGATTTTTAAAAAAATAAAAAATGATCTTTGTTTACTGATAAAAAATAGATCTTCAACATATTAAAACATAAGTTGGAGCAATATACAGATGTTATTTGTGAGGAAAAGAAAACAAAGCAGAAATTGAACCTGCTAATACAGATTATAGATTGAGTAGGTACATATTATATTATATAAGCACATTGAACACAATCTGAAAAGTAATAGCAATCAGATAATTATTTCTGGGGAGAGCACTAGGGTTTTGAATGGTAATCAAAATGTACTCCAAACTTTATTATTTGCAACTCTTCACCAAGAAATGTGTAGTGTAAATAAAAATATAAATGCTAAGTTATAATACATTTTTATCTGTTTTTCATAGCTAAGAATGATCAAACTGTGTTAGAGGCTGTAAGTATAGCACTCTAAATTTTGAAATTACACTGTTACAGAGCTTTTAGTGGACTCTAGAAATTCCATTATACATACTCAGAAATAGAGATCTAGTGTTTACTCAAGAGATTCCAGTGAATGTGTGAGCTGGAAAGCTTTTGTACATTCTTTCCATTTCACTAAACTTTATTATCACTCTGGAATATTTCTCAGATACTAATCTCTAATACCCTACAGTTCCCTGAATAGTTGCATTCATTACAAATTCTAGTTTCTTAATCTCTATCAGTCCAATAATAGCTTCACAATAACAATTATTTTGTGAGTTAAGATTTACTTTAATAATTAAGTGTCCCAATGCCACGACCACTCCAGTGGAGTCTGCGAGACAATGCCAGTCACCTGGCAGAAACCAGACCCGAGGTATCGTCCCCACGGGGTTAAGCCTCCTGGAAGTCCTTGGCACACACCGCATGCGAAGTCAGCCGTGAAGAGAATAGCTGGCCTCTCTGCCTGCAGTTTTGGGACATTGGGTTCATTTATAATTCTGCTCTATTTTGTCTTTCTTACTCTTTGTTCATTATCTGTAGAATTGTATTCTGGGCCCAGGAAAGATCAGGAACAATTAGATGTTCCTAGAGATGGGGAGGTGTTGGGGCACAAGAGGACGGGCGGCCAAAGTGCTGACCCTGAGCCCCGGACTGTGAAGTCCTGAAGGTGATCCTGAAGGTGACATGCTGAAGCCAGGCCTTTGTTTTACAAACTTCCTCTTCTGACTGCGTATAGGTGTGGTCTTACCTTGACTTAGTGGTCTTAGCTTTTGTGATTGTATATAGGTGTGGTCTCACCTTGACCTTGTGGTCTTAGCTTTTACAGTACTATTGTCTATCTTTCTCATGCCTGCCTGTGACTGAAATCACTCTTGAGGTGTGCCCTTGAAACTAGTATATATGAAATAAAATTGCAGCAGCTACTACCTTCACTACTCAGTGCTGTGTGCTTCCTGACTGTCGCCGCCGAACCTGCTCCCACCTTTCTGAAGATCCCTGTTCTCCTCGTGAAATCCAGTCTTTGCTCCCCTACGGTCGGTAGCACTGGTGGATAAAACAGACAACACTCACTGCTTGGCCAGGGCCTGAGATCAGCACTAAGAGGGACAAATCATGTTGCTGGTATGAACCCTTGGTGATGAGTAAAATTGACTTTTATGATTCTCAGCCTCCAAAACGCTAAACTCAAGAGTAATCATGAGAGAATATGGGACATATCCCCAATAAGGGTCATTCTATAAAATACTGTATCTGACCAGTGCTCCTCCACACTGTCAAGGTCATCAAATAGAGAAACTGTCTTTGCACAAAGGAGCCTAAGGGGATATGATGACAATACGAAATGGGCAGTCACTGTCAGAATACAGGAATATAAAAGGACATGAGGCAAAAATGAAAGAAACACAATAAGCTATTATCTTGATTACTTATTGCCAAGACAAAATAGCTGAGACCCACAATTTCATGGAGGAAAGGTTTATTTTACTTCTCCATTTGTAGAGATTTCAGTCTATAGTTGGCTGGCTCTGAGGCAGAGGAGTGTGGCAGAAGAGAGACAGTCCATTGCAGGACAGGCAGGAAGCAGCCTTCTTTGTGCTCTCCCTTTTATTACATCCTGACTGCAAGCCTTTTGGTTGGTGCCACCCACACTAAGGGTGGGGCTTCCCTCTTCCCTCTTCCTGTAGGAATGTAAAAGACTTATGGAGAAGTGATGAGTGTGGGCTTGAGGTTTGTAGAATAACAGTGACACTGAGGAGATTTGGTTTCCTTCAGAATTGCCTGCAGTGTGATGACAAAACCACCAGCCCAGAGAGAGTGAACCAATAATCTGGCTACTATCGGCTCACTGTTTGAGAGCTTGTGTCAAACTGTTAAGCAGTTTATACACTGTCTGAATACTGACTGTTGATAAACAGCTTGCAGTATTTCATGATTGCTGTAGCTTTAGGCAGTATTTGCTAAATAAATCATCAAAATACAGATAAAGATATATGCCCTTGTAGATGCAAGACATATTATACTTTCATTTTAGAAATTTATCCTAGAACTCAGCTACCAGGGTTTTGTGTGTGTGTGTGTGTGTGTGTGTGCAGCAATAAATCCAGTGACGTTATAAACAGACTTCTTGTTCCTATCTCCAAAGCTAATCAGAATGAGACCACTGACCATTGATTCACCAGTTACCCATTAATGTCACATTTACTAAGAGAGTGATAGTTGATCAGCACAGGAACTATATGCAAGAGCAAAGCAGAAATTCCCAATGAAATATTGAAAGTTCAGAAGAGAGAACTGTATATTACAATCTTTGGATTTGACAGAGCTATAGCATTGGCTTTGTACATGGCAACACAACAAGATGGTACTGTTGGTGTGCAACATGATACCATGATGGCAAGATTGACAGAGATACCTCAACACAAAGGAAACCAGAGACAACTTTTTTACAACTTGACCAAAGGCAGAATAGATGCTGATGAGCTCTGCAGTGACTATGGTGTCACGTGAAATACAAAAGTGTTGGCCAATGATTGTGTTTTACTCACTGCTGAACATGTCTGGCATAAATAGTTTCATCGTTTACAAAGAAAATAACAAGCGCAAAATATCACAGAGAAATTTTCTTGGGGGATTGGGACTAGAACTGTTAAAAGGTCAATTACAACAGAGGAAGAACAAAATGTTTCTGTCCATGGAACTTGTGTATGGAACAAGCAGTTTTCATGTATGAAGACAGCATTGGGTGTAATAAATTGAAGCAAAGATTATTTCTCTCTCTCTCTCTCTCTCTCTCTCTCTCTGTGCGTGTGTGTGTGTGTGTGTGTGTGTTTGGTACCGGGTATCGAACTTGGGTCCTTGTGCTTGCAAGGCAGGCGGTGGAACCACTGAGCTAAATCCCTGACCCTGTGGTTGGTTTTTGTTTGTATTTTCAGTGTAATTTGCATAGGAATTTATTTTTGATGTTAGTTTTGAAGTTTTGTAAGTGAGGAAATGGTTGACATTGAATATGTTGATGTGTATTCTAAACACTCATTGCATATTAAAGATTTAATATTTTATTGATATTTTACTTTCCTGGTTAGTACCCATTGTTTAGTGTAATACAATTCATAAAATTAAAATTAATAATTCATCAATAGAAATACTTCTAAAAAATATATATGGATGTTATACATCATCAACCTTTCAAAAAATATGCCATGGTGCCCCCTTAATTTCCCTAATTGTTAACTCCAACAGTGAGGAGCTTTATAAACATTTTAAATCATGGAAATGTACACTACAGAAAGTAAAAGGGGGCAAACCCTGAGGAGTTCTTCTCCTCTGAGTGACCCACGGCAAGTAGCCCACAGCAAAGCCCTAGATTTCATTGTGAACTCATATCTACTAAACTACGTATCTACTAGAAAAACTGGAAG